CCCTGGGGCAGGTGAGGCCCACAACTCCCAGATCCCTCTTGAGGTCCCCGAGGCTGTTACTGGGACTGCGCTTGACCTCCTTGGGTCTTTGACTTCTGTCCTTTTTCCTGCAATGAGGCAGTCTGCACTAGAAAGAAAGGACCCCGGCAGAGCTCCTGAGACTCCAGGGCCATTCCATCACCAGGGCGCCACCACTGCACTGCTTCGGGGCTGCAGGGCTCCACTGCGTCACCCGTGCAGGGTGGGCCCCAGGGGCAGGCGTGCTCAGGCCTGCCGGCTTCCTGCACGTACAGGGGCACAATTATCTGGACTCTGCTCCCAGAGGGTTGTTCCTCCCAGCAGCCCCTGCTCCTTGCCTCCAGCACACGGTTCCTACCTCCTGGGACCTCAGGGCCCACCCAGCTGGGCAGAGGCTCTGGAAGAGCTCAGTGCCCCCAGGGCACAGGGACACTTGCCCCTCTACAACCTGAGTTGCCAGGGAGGGGCAGGTGGAAGTCCTCAGCTCTTCCCAAACAGGCTGTGAGGGGCGTTCAAGTACTGCACACCCTGGATCCTGTCATTATAAGGCAGCCTTAATTGCTGTGTTTACTGACTGCCTCCTCCCAGTCAGGCACTGTCCCTGGGCTGCAAGCTGCAGGTCCTGTGTCCTCCTGAGGGAGGATGCAGAAGGAAGCAAGTGGGGATCATGACCACAGATCTTCCTGCTGGTGCCCAGACTGCACCCTGCAGGGGACTGTGTCCACCTCTGGTGGGGCCAGCAGGCCTAGAATAGGGTCAGGTCATCTCCAAATGACATCTGCTCTGCAGTGGAACCAGGGAACCCCGGAGTCCCAAAGCCTTGGGTGCAGGGTGACCTGGCCAGGAGCCTTCTTTATGGGGGGGGGCATGTAGGGTGAAGACCACCTCACAGCTGCCCTCGCTGTGGGGGTAGGAGCCTTGCCTGTCGCCTCCATCCTTACCTGGCGGGGGTTATGGGGCCTCAGCCGGTCCAGCCCTCCTCTTCTCCTCATTGGGCTTTGAACCCCAGCTAGAGACTTTCAGGGATTCAGGATCATGGGTCAGCTTTTGGGGCCACTGGGCAGATGTGGGTCTCCAGGGGTGATGGTCCTGAACTGGCCTGCAGGTGGCACCCCTCTCCAGCAGGCCTGTCGCAGGACCAGACTGCTTACTCCAAGTGGGTGGCTGCCCCAGGTGGTGAATAGGCCAAAAGAGGATGTGGGGCAGAGAGCAGCCTGGGCCCCTTCCAGTGGGTGCCCTAGGGTACAGCCTGAGGCAGCCTCTTCCCTGGCCTACACTGGGTGGTGGCATGAGGACGGGATTCCACCTTGAACCCACTACCAGCTCCCTTCCCAGAAGCCCCACCCAGGAAGGGCCCACACCGCTAGCCCTCCCCCGCAGACCACAGTTTCCTGGGGTCCTACAACCTCACTGGTGCCCCAGGGTGTGGGCCCCCATGATGCCCTCCAGCCCACAGCTCCAGTGCTGACTTCGTTCTGTTAGTGATATTGTAGAGGGGGCTCTTCCCAGATGGCACTGGCTGTCCCCCTCCCGAGTCCTCTGTGAACTGACGGGGACCCTCACCCAGAGTTGGCCCTCATCTGCCCCAGGCGAGCGTGGGGTGCAGGACTTCACACTAGGTGTTCTGTGAGGACCTGCCAGGAACCACGTGCGTGCAAACTGGAGTTGATGCTTGGAAATCAAGTCGCATGCTGAGAAGGCCCGCTGAGGATGTCAAGGCTGCTGCCCAGGAGCCCTGGGCAGGAACACGGGGGGGGGGGGGGGGGGGGGCGAGGGGGCCCTTCCTTGGAGACTTCCCTCCAGCCCGAGGTGGGGCGCTGTGCACTGTGCGTTCCTATGATTTAAATGAAAACAAAATGCTGATCTGGCTGTGTACTGTTACCCAACCAATCACCAGTCCATCAGCAAAAACGGACAGATCCATACATAGAACAAATGCTTTCCAGGACTGGTCAGAGCAAACAGAACCAGGGGCCAGAACCAGGGGCCAGAACCAAGGTGGCCACTGGTCCCCTCCCCACGCCCACAGGGGGCCCATAGGACAAGCAGGAAGGGGATGGGCAGTAAGTCGTTCAAGACACAGGCCCCTCTCTCTGAGGTTCACCGGGGGCCAGCCCCAGGGCATCCAGCAAAGGCCCCCCCGGAAGAGTGGGGAGGCAGCCTCCGCCTGAGACAGTCAGTCATGGCAACCACATCCTCATGGCTGCAGCCTCCCTCAATAAGGCCACTTGCTACGCAGCCACAGGTAGCAGCACCGGACGCCAGGTGAACTGGGGCGGGGCGGGGGGGGGGTGCTGACGTGGCTGCTGCTCCAGGATCCTCTCCCTGCATCCTCCACCTGCCGGTGGGGCTTCCCTAAGCCCGTCTTTCCCGTGGGGAATTCAGCTCTGCACATGCTGGCCATCGCTGAGAGGGTCCGCTCAGCCTCTGGAGCCTTTGTGCCTGAGCGTTGGGGGCACCAGCCTCAGTGAGTTGGAGAAGCTGCTGCCCCCCTCCCCCATGGCTCAGCTACCCAGGTCTCTGTGGCACTGTCATAGGATCCTCTGACTTTAGACCTGTTTAGTACCTAACCCTGAGCACCAAGCCCCACCCTGGATAAATATTTATTGGCAAATAAGGGCTTGGCGGGACGAAGGCCATGGGCGGCTGCTCGCAGCCCCTGTAGCTCAGGAGCAACCTGCAGCATCCGTGGCCCCCGGGGGTGGGTGAGTGTGGGAAGGAGGGAGAACAAGGCCAGGATGCAGGGCGGCCGGGGCCAGCCAGCCCCAGGAAGGGAGCTGGGGGCTTCAGGCCCCTGGAGAGGACACTGGAACACTGGCCGCTGGCCTGGCCCCCACCAGCCCCCACAGAGCCTGATGTTGGTGTCCCCTGCTAGCCTGGTCTCTGTTCTAAGGAGCGACTGCGGAGCACTCGAGCCCGAGCAGCCCTGGTCTAGAAAGACGCTCAAGATGCCAAGGGCAGTACTCCATGAGGCCTGAGATGGGGCAGCCTCCTGGCCAGCCAGGCAGAAGCTCCAGTGGCCTGCAGCTCCGACCCTTTGGCCATCCGTGGTGCAGCACTGGGACCTCAGAGCCCTGAATGCCGTGGGCCCAGCAGGCACGTCTGCCTCTCAGGGCTGTGGGTCATATGTCCGTCCCTGGGGTCTCCTGGAAGCCCTTCTCTCAGGCCTTGCTTGCGCGAAGATCAGAAGTGGTCAAGGTGCTTCCTGCAGAGGCCCTAACCACAGAACCCAAGGCTAGAAAGAGACTGCCCAGTCACATCCGAACTCTCCCTGTCCCCAGGGCAAGGGGCCTGCCGGGCTGTGGAGGTGTATTCCTAGTCCAGTGTCTGTCCTCCGGCCCTGGGAACCATGGCAAGCCCAGGCTCTGAGGTGGGCCTGGAGTTAACGGAGTTGGGAGTGGAGAGTCGGCACCAGAGAGACGGATGGGACCCTGTCCTTCCCAAGGCTATGCAGAAGCAGCTCCAGGCTGGGGCCTGTTTCCAGTGGAGGCCACCACTGTGTGGACGTTGTGAGGCTCTCCAGAGCAGCATGAAGTGCTGGCTTCCAATAAGCCAGAGCCATTGGCAGCCTGGAGCCGCTCCCCAAGTCACCTGAAGTCAGTCTGGGGCTCATGGGAAGACTGAAGGCAGGCGGGAAACCAGGGGACCCCTGGGGCCAGGGGCTGGGGCCCTCACAGCTCCAGCTGGCAGCAGAGTCTGCTGGCTGCCCTGGAGTGCTGGTCAGCCCATAACTGTACATGTCCTAAGAGTGCAACCCCAGCCTCCAGGGGCTGCTCCTGGCCTGACGTGGGCCCAGCACCAAGGCCACCTGTTAGACAGAGGTGACCACTGGCCCTGCTCCCCTGTGGTGGCCACATCACATCACACCCCCTGGCCATTAAGCCATCAGTGAACAAGGTGTGGCACTGTGGGAGGATGCTCCCAGCACTACCTGCATGCAGAGCACGGGGCCTCTGACACGGTACTCGCTTCTATCAATGCACAGAATGAGGCTGCAGGGAGACTGACTCCTCAGTGTGTCCCTCCATGGCAGGGATGGTGGCTCGCAGCCTGCCTGTTGGTGGCACCATCTTCTGAGGCTGTAGGGAGGCGGGTGCCTGGATGGATGGCCTCTATCCCTGGACAGCTGCTGCCCTGCATCTGGGTCCCCCTCACAATGTGGGCTTCTGCACTGGCAGGCAGAGGATGCCTTGAGCAGGGTCACCCCACCTGGCTGTCTTGGACCTTTGGGCTCTACTGGTTATGGCCTGGCCCTGGTCGCTGCCACCCGGGAAAGTTGGTGGGCAGGTAGGTGGACAGGTTGGTGGGCAGTTTGATGGGGCATGTGGGACACACTGTGCACACATACGCACCATATCCCCTGCTGTCACGCACCCTGTGAACATGGGCAGGTTCATCCTGGGTGCTGGACCTTCTCTGCAGCTGCAGGGCCTCCAGTTGATGCAGCCCTTCCATCTCCTGGGCGTTTAAAGTCACTGCAAGCAGAGAAGCCGTCCCAGCTGGCAAGATGGAAAGCTGGATGCAAAAGAGCTGTCAGGCCTGTCTAGAGAGCAGCCTCCACCTCTGCCCCCAGCAGCGGGATCCCCTGCTTGGGGATGGGGCCCTAATTCCACACGTGGCCCCCTCCAGCCTTCTCTGACCTGGCCAACTGCCCTACTACCTCAGACATGTCCTGGACAGCAGGGCTTCTCCTGGCCCTGGTTCCTGGCCCCAGTGCTCACTTCCCCCAGGGTGGGGCAGTGAGGCTCTTGGGCATGCTGTGGTTCCGCCTGCCTGCCCCAGTCCTCTTCCTTCCTGGGGCTGTGGTCCCTGCTGCTGCCCTGCTGGAGACCACCATCCTCCTTTTCCTGTCCAGTACACGGGTCACCTACTGGCACCACCTCTCCAGGCCTGGCACTCGTCCCTCGCTGTGCCAGCCAGGCGACTGTTTCTAACCAACCAGGTTAAAGCTCAGGCACCACCTGGGCTTGCTGCTGGTCCTTCTCAGCCCCTCTGCACCTTCAGCGTGCCTAGGGAGGGCTGTGGCTGGCCCCGGGAGCTGCGGCGCTACTTCCAGGTTCTCTTCTCTCAGGTCTGTAGCAGAGGCTCCCCAGCACCTCGCACAGTTTCAGCCCTGGAATAAGGTTCACTGTACAGGCTTGGTGCTTGCTTCTCTTGGCACTGGGTATTTCCAGGAGTGACCCCCCCAGGAAGGCTGGTGAGTGCCAGAAGGCCTAGTGCTATGGGTCTTTACATACCTATGGGTCAAAGGTCAGCATTTTCCTGCCAGGTTTCCACTGTAAGGACAAGATACGTTCCCCACTGCATGTCATGGCTTCCTGAAATAGGCCTCTCTGCTCTCTGGTCTCTTTCTGAGAAGGACACAGACGTTTCTAGGTGTCGCCAGAACTCACACACCACAAAACCGTGGCTAAAGCAGTCACTTTGAAGACTGCCCCCTCAGCAGCCCCTCAAGTTCCCAGGGCTTCATGATGTCCTGATGTCAGGGAGGGACCACCCCACCTGCCGGGCCCTCCTGCTGCAGCCACCTGCAGGAAAAGGGCACATGGTCTGGCTACAGCTCCCCTCTGCAACCTATCAAATGCATGTTAAAAACCACTCAGTGTGTTCCCATGGCTGTCCTAGGAAGGCAAGGAAGGACTGATGAGTAAAAGCAAATAATCTGGTTACTGCAATTGATGCAGAAAAAGCTAATAAATTTCAAAAACTACTTATGACTTTAAAAAAAAAAAAAGACTTCTTAGCTGGGCACGATGGTACTTGCCTGCCATCCCAGCAGCTGAGGAGATGGAGACAGGAGGATCACAGGTTCAAAGCCAGCCTCAGCAAAAGTGAGGTGCTATGCAACTCAGTGAGGCCCTGTCTTTAAATAAAATACAAACTAGGGCTGGGGATGGGGCTCAGTGGTCGAGTGCCCCTGAGTTCAAGCCCCAGTACCAAAAAAAAAAAAAAAGACTTGCTGGAAAACCAGGAGTGGAAGGGAAGTTCACTCCTATAATTAGGTTTATTTATTTTTTTTTAAAGCATTTTTTTTTTAAAGAGAGAGTGAGAGAGAGGTGGAGAGAGAGAATTTCAACATTTATTTTTTAGTATTTGGCGGACACAACATCTTTGTTTGTATGTGGTGCTGAGAATCGAACCCGGGCCGCACACATGCCAGGTGAGCGCGCTACCGCTTGAGCCACATCCCCAGCCCCTATAATTAGGTTTATAACCCTAAACGCCAGCTGAGCAGCAGCCTCCTGATCCCTGGCCACCTGGGCCCAAGTCCCCGTGCTATGGGACCAATGCCACTGAACTGGCCCCCACTGGTCTTTTTTGGTATTAGGGGCTCTGGTGATCCTGTGGCCAGGCACCCCCGACAAGGGGACTGGAGTGGTTGTCAGCATGTCAACCCCAGCTGGTGAGGCACATGGTCTCTGTGAAGGGAAAGTCTGGTTTTCCTGGGTGACAGTCACTCGGGGCCAGGCTGGCTGGGCTGTCGCCCCTGTCCAGGAGACCGCAGGCCCTTGGGAGCCCAGCACAGTGTCTGCTTTGTTTAGCCCCAGGTCCTGAGGTCAGCATCACTGCTGCCTTCTACTGGGGCTGAGGCTGCGGGGAAGGGATTAACCTGCAGCTGGGGCCACAGCCTTGGGGGAGAGCGGAGCTGATCCCCTCAGGGGGCCCCCCAAGCCAGTTGCTGACCCTGGAAGCTGATTGCAGGTTGCAGTTGGATCCTGGCTCAGCAATTCCTAAAATACAGAGCTCTAGAGATGTCACAGGACCGGGCACTGGGTTGGGGGCCACTGTGTCCAGAGACCTGTAGAGAAAAATGTCTCCACCCTACCAGAAACTCAAACCTGCTCTGGGCTGGGAGTTGTCCTGCTCGTCCATGGCTTTTCCACAGGGACAGGTGTTGTCCTTGAGAGGACAGGTCGTGGGCCAGCCAGGGCTGGAAATCACCAGGGTCCACAAGCCCTGGACTGCTTTCCTTCTGTGTGTGTGTGTGTGTGTGTGTGTGTGCGTATTTTAGTTGTCAATGAACCTTTATTTTATTTATTCATTTATATGTGGTGCTGAGAACCAAACCCAGTGCCTCACATATGCTAAGAAGTACTCTACCACTGATCCACAACCTTAGCCCCTTTTCTGTTCTTTTTTGTTACTTTTTTCTCTTTTCCAGGGCAGGCTTATTCTGGATACCAGGTCTTTACTTTTAAATGAAAACCACCCGGCATTCCTCTGTAGATGGACACTATACACAAACCTGGTTTTTTCTCAGAGCAGAAGTTAAAAATTATTCAATGCAAAATTCCTGGGCTGTGGAACAGTGGCCAGTTGTACCAGGCAAAGGTTTCCACCACATTCCGCCCGCCAGGCCCGTGATAAGACAGCCCTGCTGGACCCACACCACCAGGCCAACCTCGGCCTTTGGGAACCAGGTAGGATTGGGGCTCCTCTGGAGCTGGAGGGGAGTGCCCAGGAGCAGGGTCTCTGCTTCTGAACAGCCTGACATCCCCATGCTTGAAAGTTTCTCTTCCTTACCCTGTGATGTCCTGGGGAAGGTCTGTTTCCCAGCGGGGCAGGGGCCTGGGGCGTCCAGCCAGTGAACATGGGCTTAGCCATGTGGGAGGCTGGAGCCTGCAGGAGGGAGCAGCTTGCGGGGGTCTTGCAGGAACCCGCAGTTTCTCCTGAGTGTTGGGGGCGGGGTGAGGGTGGTGTTGTGAACTGGGGTCATTTGAAAATATCCAGGAGAGCTGGGCCAGGGCTGTGTCTTGGTAACTGAGGGCTGTGGCCGGCAGGAAAGTCACAGAGGGCCATGGGTGTCCCACATATCCCCTAGAAGTTGGGGTTCTCCGAGTTCTGTGATGTTTTCTGGGTGTTTTAACCTTCCTGGTGGGAAGAGATGGCCATAAAGGCCCTATACTGTCTATAGGGTCTACTTATGATGTCAGTGTGTGGCCCCATAGTGCCCAGGAGGAAACCACCCTATTCCATTGAGTGGCGGTGTGTGTTCTGGGAGTTACCCTGCCAGGGTGGGGTCTGGACTCCCAGCTTGCTTTACCAAAGCCAAAACTTAGTCCTGAGGGGTCTACAGCAGCCCTGGTGCCATGGTGAGCGGCCTGCCCTCCACGAGGACAGCTACCAACCTCCGCAGCAGGTGGAAGGGGTGGTAGTCGGCTGCTGCGGGAAACCAGGGAAGGCCGGTGAAGATGCACCGACAGGACAGAGCAGGGGTTCTCGGCCAGGGTCCACCATGCCCTTAACAGCAGGCCGCTCCTGGGCCTCGGAGAGTGCACACCACACTGAGTTCATTTCCTCTGAGTCATGTAAGAGACACACATTTCCATAAGGACTGACAACAGCCTTCCAGCCACCCATAGGCCAGGCAAGGCCTCCGCTTCCAAAGCAGGCGGTAGGACCAGAGTAGCTTCCCGGTGTATCCACCGGACTCAGCTTGTCCCTCCCACACTCTCCTCTCCCCACTGTCACTGCAGCTCAGCAGGTTCTATGTGGCCAGAACTGCATGTGAGGTGTGACAGATGACCGTGAGTCGTTTTCACAGAGTCAACTGCCTGCCTGCCTCCTGCTGGCTTGGTTTTCTCCAAACTCATTCCTGATGCATGCCGGGCGCCCAGTGCTCCAGTTCCAGCCTCCTGAGAGGCTGCTGTGGCCAGCTCTGCCTGGGAAGGTCCAGGGCAGGGCAGGTATTGGGGAGGTGTCCTTGTCTGCATCCTGGGGACACCCCAGGCCTCCTGCAGTGGGGCTGGGTGTCCCTGCTCTCCACTCGTCCTTCCTGGGTAGCTGGAGCTCATCTGTTGGTAGCCCTCCAAAAAGGACTCAGGGACATGCATGGCTTTGAGATGTGGGGCTCTGGGGCTTGGGCTCAGATGGGGCTGGCCTTGGGTCCAGCCCAGTCCTCTGGGCTGCAGTGGCCTCGCTGCTCCCACTCCTGGTTCTTGGTGTGGGACCTGGTATCTGTTTCTTCTCTGGAAGTCTTTGGGCCTCTTATGTCTGCTCTTCTGGCATTCCACGCACATCGAACCTTCCCGTGGATTGGGGTTTTTTATCCCCTCTGCTAGGTGCCCAGTGGATCCTTCCATCTGGAACGTCTTTCCATCCATTCCTAGGAATTTTCCTGAATTATACTTCTAAAGGACCTCTCCCTTCTATTTTCTCTGTCCCCCTCTCAGGGGTGAACACTGAGAGTGGACCTGCTGCTGGGGTCCGGCTTGGGTGTTGGGCCTGCGGTGCCTGGTGGGAGGCGGAGTGAGCTCCCCCAGGCTGGCTGGGCAAGTCTGGGGTGTGTCTCAGCTCAAACCACAACAGCAAAACACCACACCCTGGAGACACACAATAGCAGTCCACTTCCTCCTGGTCCTGGGGGCCAGAGCGAGGTCAAGGTGTGGGCAGGGCTGCTTCTCCAGGCCTCTCCTCCTGGTGAGATGGCTCCTGCCTCATCCTCAGTGGTCTTTCCTTCATGCCCATCCCTGGCATCTCTGTGGGTCTCCTCTTCACCAGGACACCAGAGGGACAGGGCCTTTCTAAGGGCCTCATTTACCTTAATCGCCTCTCCGAAGGCTGTCTCCAAACACACATTCTGAGTTCCTGGGGCTCTGGGTGGAGCTGGACACCATGTGGACAGGTGTCTGGGCCTCCCTGTGAGCCTGCCAGGTGACCCGCCCTGGCCTCGGTGGAGGCACCGGTTCTGCCCAGCGCCAGCCCTCCTGGGGAGCGGGAAGACAGCCAGACCCACTCTCCTTGCGTTTCAGTGCTCACTTGCTCCCTGTGGGTCCGCTGATGGCCTTGCGCCTCCCAGGGAGGGAGCACGCAGTTTCCAGTCAATGCCGGAAACTCTGGGCAACCCCCCAACAGGGTCCAGGGAAAGGGTGGCACGGGAGTTCCCAGGCAGCCTGGAGGGGGCAGTGCTGGGGTTGGCCTGTGGTGGGGGAGCATCCGAGGAGGGAGTGTCTGTTTTGATTCAGGAAGAGAAAAAAAAGTTTTGATGAACTTGTGTGACTGGGCGCATGAAGCTGGTGTCGGGAAGTTGGGTCTTCTCCCAGGAAACGGCCCTGTGAACGTTCCCAGTGAGCATCTGTCCTCTCTGTCCTGTCCCTGTCCCAGGCCCCATCTGCTGTGGTCAGCACAGCAGGGGGCCTCCTGGGCCACTCCTTCAAACCATCCCTGCTGTCTGACTCCTACCCAACAGGAGGGGCTGCTATGCAGGACATCACAGAGTGGCCCTAGCAGGCACCGTGGCCTAGAGGGTCCCTGCAGACTTTGGGCACAGTATGGCTTAGGACACAGAACTCTGGGCTGGGCCCTGGTGGAGACCAAGCCCTTGTGGTCACAGCCTGTGAAGCCTGCGGGACTCTAGGGTCCACCTCAGTGCCCAGCACTAGACCACACAGAGATAGTAGATGGGGCATCCACATGTAGTTCCTACACACAGGGCATGCCAGGCGTCCACTTCAGGCGTCCAGGTCTACACTGGCAGAACAGGCTCCAGGAAAGGAAGTCAGAGGTGGGTGGGGTTGGTAGCAAGGGTGGAGCCCCAGAGAAGCACTGGCCCTAGTGTGACAACGCGTGGGGAGGGGGTCTGCTGGCCAGTGAGGCCTGGGAGGCCAGGGTGGAACCAGGTCTGTGGCAGGCACTGACCACAGCTTGGACCTTGAGCTCCCAGCAGCCCACAACTGCTGGAGGAGCTACTCTCCCTGCTGGTCCTCTGAGGCCTCATGTCTACACCCTGGTCACTCCTACCGCCACTGCTGTCCTGGACTCTGCCCCACCTCACTCTCATACCCAGACCCAGCCCTCCCTCCTCCCATCACACACAGCCTTTGTCTTCTGGGAAGACTCCCCAGTCCCTGTTGAACAGTGTGTCTGGGCCCCAGCCCTTGTTCTGTGGGCGGCCTAGCATAGATCACAGCAGTCCCTGCCCTGCCCCCACCTCCTTCCAGGTGGCACATCACGGCTGCATGGGACACAGCCATTCAGGAGGGGAACAGCTATGCCAGGTGGACTTCCTCCACAGGTTCCTGGAGGTCCAGGAGGGGCACCCAGCTTCCTGGACGCCCCCCCCCCCTTTTATTTGGTACCAGGGATTGCACTCAGGGACACTCAGCCACTGAGCCACACCCCCAGCCCTCCCTATTCTGTATTTTACTTAGAGACAGGGTCTCACAGAGCTGCTTAGCCTCTCGTTTTTTGCTGAGGCTGGCTTTGAACTCGCCATCCTCCTGTCTCAGCCTCCCAAGCTGCTGGGATTACAGGCGTCCGCACCCAGCTACCTGGACCCTTCTTGAGTCTCTGACCTCAGTCAGGTTCCCGAGGCTTCAGAGGGCTTCAACCGCTACAGTCTGGGATGCCAGCAAGGCCCCTTCTTGATAATCCCACCTCCCAAGGTGGGTGTCCTGCTGTAGCCTCTGACCACCCCAGGACCACTGTCCCCTCAGCTTCCCCTGCCCCCATGACCACTGCTGACCAGGCTGGAGGCTGCAGGGGGATTCTGGGCAGTGGAATCCTTGGGCCTAGGTGAGACCAGCCCCCTCCCCTTCCTGGGCAGGACTAGAGAGCCTGGCCACCGCCCTCTGCAGGGAGGGCCTGGGGAAGTCTGGGAGCGAGCGAGGCTGCGGCAGGGCCGGGGACATTTGCCTTGCACCTCCACACTGCCAGGCTCCTGTCAGGCTGCAGACAGTGACCTGGGGGCGCAGGAGAGAAAGAGGGGCAGCCAGTCAACAGGGCACTTCTAGGGCTCCCTTAAGCCAGGGTCTCCCTGTTTTCTGATGGAGAACTTTTGGGTGTCCCATCTGGAATCCCTGCAGTCTGTGGGCAGCTTCCTCTGCATGGACCCCGCACAGGTTCCTGCTCACAAGTCCTGCTGCTGTGGAAATGGGACTTTTGCATTTTAAAATCAGAAATGGGTCCCTCTGCCTACAGTGGCCAAAACCTGAGTCAGAAAGCAGGGCCTGTGGGGACGTCTGTCCCACAGGATGCCCACATGCTGCCTGCCCGTCCTTCTCCACAGGGGCACGGAGGCTACAGGAATGACTCATCAGTTGGGCCATACTCCCAGTGACTCAGAAGGCTGAGGCAAGAGGATCACAAGTTCGAGGCCAGTCTCAGCAACTCAGCAAGCTCCTTTCTCAAAATAAAGAATGAAAAAGGCTGTGGATGTGGTTCAGCAGTAAAGTGCCCCTGGGTTCAGTCCCCAGTACAAAAAAAAGTGAGCAGTCCACCAGCCTGAGCACTCTGCCCCCCCCCCCCCCGCAGGGAGCTGCTGCAGCCCAGGGCCTGTGGGGTGGGGTGGGGAAGGGCGGGTACTTCCCTGATAAAACCAGGTGGGGGGGGACCCTTGGTAGGGTGCAGATGCATTGTAGGGGTGGTGAGCAGAGAGCGTAAGGTCAGAGTGTCCTCTGTGGGAGAACAGAGGTTTTGTGTGCCAGGCATAGGGTCATCCTCCTGAGCCTGTAAGCCCTACAGGCCGGTGTCCACTGAGTCAACCCCTCCGGACTCTCAGACAACAGAGGGGCAGAGCAGCTGCACTAGGGCAGGTTGTGGGGAGGGGGCCATCTCCAGGGAGCCCTGGGCCTCGGGCTGGACCTCCCTTTTCAGGGGCTGATGAGAGGTCCCAGGACTGGGGAGGCTGTAGCGGCTTGCTCGGATCCTCCCCTTAAAAACCTGCAGGGAAAGTGGGGTCCAGACTACTGAAGCCCCTTAAAATCCTCTAGGGTGAGGCAGGAGCACGGAACAGCTGCTGAGCTGGGCCTGCGACTGGGGCATCTGCCCGGACGTCCCCGCTGCGGGCGGCAGGGCGGGTTCACCTTCATTTGGGAGGGGTTAATTGCACGCAGGTGCGATCTCAGGCAAACAAAGGCGCGGGCGCGGTCTCCCGGCCGCCGGGCCCTTCCCGGCACTGCGGAGCCTGGAGGCCTGGTGTAAAAGAGGTCGCCTGGAGGTCCGCAGTTTTCTGACTGGTGGAGATGGGTGTGCGGGGCCTGACCCCGCCGACGCGGCCGGGAAGGGCAGACGGTCTGGCGCAGGTCGGCAAGGGACGGAGAGGCTGCCCTCACCCGGGCCCTGGCGTCCCGTGGGCGCACCTGTTCCTGCCTCCCCAGACCCGCCCTCTCCTTGGTTTTCGCGAGGACAATGGTGTGGCGGTGCAGCCCCCTTCTGCTTTTCTGGGTTCCAGAGCAGGAGGAGCTCTGGCAGAGGAAACCCGAGCCCCGCCAGGTGCGCGAGACAAAAGCGGCGCCGCCGGCCCCAGTCCTGGGCGGGCCTCCTGGCTCCCTGAGCTGGTGCGCCCAGGGGCCCGCGAGTCTCCCGGGTGCGCACCGCGGCCTCGCCAAGGGCCCAGGGAAGCCGGGTGACCGATGGTCTGACGCGTTGGCCTCTCTGAAGTCTGCGGCGTCCTCGGGGCGGGTTTCCGGGAACAGGGTAACTGCTTTCGCGGGTGGGAGTGGCCTAGACCCCCTCTCGTGCCCGCACGCTCTCAGCCGTGCGGTCCCCAGGCCTCCCTAGCCCTCCTGTGTCCACGGATCTGGGTCCGGCTGCTGCTCAAGTGCGTTCTCCTGGGGTCTCTTCCACCTCAGGGAGGAGCTTCTTAAAGAGAGGACTCCATAGCCCCTGGTTGTGGCACAGCCGTGACCCTGCCATTCTGTCACCAGGGGGCAGGGTCCCGCCAGCAGCTCTGAACTGGGAAGGAGGATTCTGGGATGGCCTCCCTCCCTGCCTTCTCAGGCACCAGCCGAGCACCCTGAGAAGGCCCAGAACAGAATCCCCACTCCCTCTTCTGAGGGCTGCACTTCCAGTTTCCTCCCTCCTGTGCTCCACATTCTCCTATCCCAGGGGTCCTCGTGAGAGTGCCCACAGGCACACACACATTCACACACATACTCAGACATGGTCACAGGTGTGTGCAGATGTGACCATACATGTACTCACACACTTGGCAATACATGCTCACACAAATGTACACGTGTGCATACACAGAGAGACGTGTGTGTGGTCACATTCTTGGTCACATGCACATGTGCACAGAGACATGCTCACACTGGCGTTCGCACATGTGGTCACATACATGAGCTCACACAGTCACACACATTCAGACAAACGCACACCCTCCCTTACTCCCCTACACACAAGCACAGGCACGGCCTTGTGCACACACACAGGTATCTCCTACAGCCCTGCCAGATTCCTACCTGGCAAGTAGGTGCTCTCTGACCCAGCCTGGGGCTCCTCTCATTCAGTTCTTGCCCAACGTCCCACCTCAGTGGGATTCCTAGGCTTCCTGCCTACTGCTGGCCTGGGACAAAGTCCTTGGGGCTTAGGAGGGGGCAGGGCAGCCCACAAACAGAAGTGCAACTTGGCTTTGTTTGGGGGAGGGTCCTCTTGACCTGCCACTGACCTCTCCAGGTTGGAGGCGGGACCTCCTCCAAGGCAGGGCTGTGCCTGGGAACCTCCAGCCACCCCCATGCACTCGTCTCCAGGAATCCCTCCCTGCTGCTCCTTGCTCTGCACTCAGCATGGCGGCAGCCTGCTGACCTGTCTGGAGGGTGGAGAGCAAGGGGGCCAGGGCAAGGCGGAGCACCTGCACAAGGCTGGCCAGAGGCGCTGCAGGCATGAGCAGGAGGACCCCTCCCAGAACCCAGACAGGCTCACCTCACCGGCCTCCAGGCTGCACCTCAGTGGTCTGGGCAAGGTTTTCAGGACGGGGAACGTTGTGAATTTTCCAGAAAGCCAAGTATAAACTGAGGCAATTTAAAGGAAACCTCCCTTATCCTGAGAGTTTATCCACCTCTCAGTGCTAAAATGTCATTTGTGGGGATACTGTGCAGCTCAGTGGGGGAGCAATACCCAGCACCTGGGTTCTGGCCCTGGGTTCTGTCCTCAGAACAACAACAACAGGTCATTTGCTTTGTAAAGTGACTGTTAGCAGACAGTGGCATTTTAAAACGCGCTTTTTAGCAAATAAACACCTGCTAGTTCTTATGTCTGAAATGGTGGGTCCCGTACAGGTCTGTGGTTTTCTGTGTCTGTTTTTTCTTGCAGTGCTGAAGATGGAACCCAGGCTTCCCGCATGCAAGGTAAGTGCTCCATCACTGAGCTACACTCCACTCCAGGCCTAGGGTTTCACGAGGACAGTGGCGTGGGGATGCCCCACGGCGTGGTGCCTTCTGCTTTTCTGGGTTCCAGAGGAGGAGGAACTCAGCAAGAGGAAGGGGCAGACAGGGGCTGAGTCTGCTCCAATGTGCGACGTGGCCCTGCAGGTCAGGAAGCCCCTTCATGCCCGCCAGCCTCATAGGTGTCTACAGCTTCTTTAGCTGTCCTGAGTGTGATTGGCCATCAAGGAACAAGGGTTTCTGCAGTTCCAGGTCCTGGGGCCAAGTGTGGTGGTGTGAGGCCCAGGATGCTGCTTGGGGAAGGAGAGTGAACTAAGGTGGTAGGTAGGCCAACTTAGAATCCAGGTGTTTGTGTCAAGGTGCGCTCCGCTTCTGTCCCCAACTGGTGCAACCTTTGGCCGAAGTCGATGTCCAGAAATGAAACAGGATTTGCTGCAGCTCTGCTGAGAAACTCAAGTGGAAGCGGAATGGGCCGTGCCCACTCATCTTGCCATCGGCTGCTGCAGTTGCCCTGGGCTGCTTCCTGCTCCCAGCCTTACCTGGGAATCTGACTTAAAAAAAGACAAAAAGAAGGAGAAGGCAGGGCTGTCCCTTACTGTGAGCCCTTGTGAGTCCAGGAATGCTCGTGTGTGGCCAGGAGGGTTGGACAGGAAAGGGGTGGGATGGGCTCCTTTGGCAGCAGTTCCTCCTGGCCCAGTGCCCTGGGTCCTGCACACAGCCCTTTGCCCTCTGGGTTCACCTCTCTGCATGGTGGGCGTGCTCTTGGTCAGGCCTGCAAGGAGGCAGCGGGCACAGAGGAGTCCTGGGAAGGCAGTGACACATTCCAGGCGTCCGCCCTGAACCTGTGAGATGTGGCTGTTGTGTGTCGCTTGAGTTTTGCTTTTGATGGCAGCATCTTTCCTGATCCCATGCTTTCCAGGGATGCCATTCGTGTCCTCTGTTGGTCTTCTGCTTCTGCTTCAAGAAGGCTTCTCCCTCTGTGGTCATGAACCCTGAGGGTTCCTCTAAGCCCTCGGCCCTTGCCCCCTTTTGTAGCTCTGGGACCGTGGGTGCGAAGCTGCTCCACTCTCCTTGTCGATTTCCTTAATGGCGTGTGGCTCCACACTTGGCAAGGGGCTCTGCCTTCCCCCCTGATGCCCCATGGCTATGAGTCCTCTGCCATGCCCACTCATCTGTTGGGCCTGCACTGGGTGCCCGATTTCAATCCTTGCAATTCCCGTCCGTCAGCTGTCACCGTCAGGCTCCTCAGCAGGACTGCCCACATCCCTTCCCAGTGGTGCTGGAGCAGGCTGGCTGGTTCCTAGAGCCTGGAAAAGCTGGGTGGGACTGGCATTAGAAACAGAATTGCCCTGGAGGAGTGGGCATCTTCGTGGTAACCGTCCTGGGCCCAGCTCAAGGTGAGCTGACCACACTCGGGTCCCAGGAGACCTTTGGGATCGACACCTGGACACTGCTTCATGCTGGAGGCCTCTTGGCCTGCTCCCTCCCAGGCCCGGCTCACCTGGCTGGGAAGACCCTCCTGCGAGGGCAGCCGTGATGCCCCGTTATTGTGCTTCCTGGGGCTTTTCCAGAGCAGGGGTGGTCATCATCCTCTGCTGGCAGATGAGGTTGGCTCCTCCTCTGGGCCCGGGAAGGAAGGAGCACAGACAGCATCACTTTGCCAACGTGGTAGCACCTGGAGCCTCCTGTTGGCTGGGCCCACCTCTGCCCCACCCCCCTCACGGCTCCTGTCTCGTTCGCTGTTACACCCAACTTCAAGAGAGGCGGACCAGTGCCAGCGGGTGCAGACTGTGTGTGTGCCCGCTCGTGCGCTCGCCTGCGTGCAAGCACCCACTGATGTGTGCCTGGCTGCGTCGGAGGACCTGCTCACCCGTGCGCCTGCCTGTGTTGGCCCCCTGCTCAGAGCCCACATGGGCAGCCTCCTCCCTGCAGCCGGGCTGCTGTTGAGGGGCTCCAGGCCTCCCTGAAGGGCAGGGCCCCCCTTGTCAAGGCCGAGTTGGAGGCCAGAGGCCAGGCACAATGGACTGCGCCTGGAGAAGGTCTG